GAACAGATATACATGTCGCTTTACTTGTGTTCTTCTGAAGCTGAGCTGTAACAAGCACTGCCTTTCGAATGCCCTTCCACCCCTTGTAGTCTCCAATGGAGGTAAACTGGAGGATCTTGCCACCAGATACTCGAGCGGCAGCCCGTTGGAAAGACAGACTCAAGCCTGGGTTGGGAATCCCAGCATTCGTGAAGATATCAGTTGCGATAAATCTTCCACGAAGGACCACTAGGCCGAAGTACCCAAAAACGAAGGCCTCCTTAATAAGAGATAAAGGTCCAAGGGTCCATATCTGATATACGATATTTGTAGAAAGTTTCGAGAGCAACGGAGTTGCATAGTTCGACGGCCTCCCGAGAACAGCTGTTGACGTTGACAGACAGTTCATGCAGATGGATTGTTCCATTGTTAATCCTTTCAGCGATCCTGCTGGCTGGCCTGACTTGGAAGCATCTTCAATGATAGGGCAGTGGCCAATAGATGTCTGTTTCTGAAGCAAATTTTTTTAGTCCCATGTCGCTAGCTACAGAAAAACAAGCCAACACACCTACTGCGAAGAGCGCCCAGGAGCTTCTGGCATGACTCAAGGGATAACCACTTGAAAAACTTAGGACAGGATCGCTATGAGAATACCAAAGGCCTCGATGTTTCCTATTGATGCCGTTTGATGCGAGCGGTGAGGGCAAGCTGGATTATAAAGAGGTTGTGGTGTGATAAAAGAGGAGGTGAAGGAGAAGAGAAGTAAGGTGCTGCAGATGCCTAGGTACCTGGTAGGTGGGCTGCTTAAAAACCGGTACTGCTTTAGTTACGGATGAAAATATTAGACCAGCTTTAGTGTATATACAGCCTAAGAGATCTTCAGTATTTTCGTCTGGTCTTTTTTTAGTCCCTGTTTTTATTCAAAACACCTGCTGGGCCAGTACCTAGGTAGGAGAGTGCCGACCTGGATGATGCAGATTCTAGATCTTAAAATGGGCTGGAGATCAAGGTAGGTACCAACTTAAAGGTGTTTCCAATTATGATGTAATTTGTAGGTAATTTAGAAAACAAAATGCACAATACCTAAACTATTTGTGAACAATAAACTTGAGTACTAAAGGGTTTGTCTAAATTAGACTAGGCATCCATCTATAGTTGCTTGTATGGAAATCTCATTTGGTACAATATAATATTAGGCAGTAACCTGTTAGAATTGTGATATTGTGCTTGCATGGGGTAAGCGCGTAATGATTTACTTGTGTTATGGGATGAGGATAGTGGTTGATTCTATAAACAATAACAACAGGACTAGGATATTCTTCTTACACAATTACTAGACAGCAACTTAAAGGCAAACATTGGAATTTGATTGCCAGTACCTAATTCATTCTCAAATTTGGTTTGCCAGTACACTGCCCGCCAGCTGTCAACGATTACTCCCTCGAATCCAAATTGCTGATCTACCTAGCTAGATATTATACACAGCTCATTTCGCACCCATCCTGCAGAAAATCTTTCCCTCCAACGTCCCCCAACCTTACCTCAAGAAGCCCTTGGACGATTCAAATTCTTCTATATACTACATTGGTACCAGTGCTTGCAAAGCTTAAGGCCTTTCTACAAATTCCACAGCCACCATCTATCTGTTGCGTTATCGCTGACTCCCGTGAGCATGACCTGCAGTATCGCTGTTGTATGTTGACCCGATGAAGCTGACTCTTGATTATAGGCCTGCCCATCATGGCTCAGCCCTCGGCTGTCGAAGACATCGTTCAACAGCTGTCACAAGACCCTTTGGACCTTAGTATCCTCGGTCTCGACCAGAATGTTGTACTGCCTTTGCTGGATCTACCCCAGGAACGAGTCCGGGAGATCTATGAAAGCATTGTCAATGACATCTTCTCGGCCGTCAACATCGACCCCGATGATGCTCAAGAATGCTGGAGTGCTTGTGTGTCCCGTCTTGATGAATCACACATCTTATTCTCCACGATTATCACAGACTCTACCGGTTACCACGCCATCGAGCCAGCATGCAGGGACGCCCTAGCTTGCAGTAACGGTTTTGAGAACAGTGGTGAGGGAGAACTATATCTCCCCCAAGCCCCAACACCGTGTCTGTCTGTCCCAGACCTTGTCACCCTCATCGCCCTCCTTTATTATAGAAAGGTTCACCCATCAAAGCCTAGCGACGAGGTTTTAGACATGCTCAACAAAATCAACGTAGCAGCCTTCCTCGATGTTGCCATCGATGTGTTTTGGATCACAGGTGGAAGTCCATTCCTAGTTGTACAGGACCCTTTCGTCGCAGAACCCTTGGTGGTTCTTAAGAATAGAACCTTGGTTGCCAAGGTATCGCGTAAAACTCCGAACAAGTTCTGCACAGTCATGCAGCAGCAAGGAGCTATCCTCTGTCATGCCCCACGGATCGGTATCCATATGGAGGAGGACTCCGATTCTCTTTCAGTCCAATCCTTTTTGGATCGACTGCCCACTGAGTAGCTTCGACCTGCTCGTTGGCCTATATATACCTGAGCTATCGGTGGTTCCATTCTCGTCGCACAGTTTATGTTATGTCGACATTTGGTATTTGGTTTCTGCAAGTTGGGCAATGTGCTTTGTTTTATTCTTGGCAATCGAGAACCTGGGTATATGCAAGAATAGGACGGTTCATTGTTGCCGACTAGATAATTATGTGGTCCGGGTCCCTTAATGTTTGGGCTTGCTGCCTTCATACATGAACAATCTGGGTTCGTTTAGCTTTCTTAGATCAATAAAACTGGTTCTTCGTAGCACCAATTAATTCTATCAGGGTGACTGGCGGATTGTATTAGTGAAAATGCGTATTCATCCCACCTTGTAATTTGACACGTTAACCAGTGAATAGGCCATTCGAAAAGACTTGACGACGTAATTCAGAGATGGCCTGACGTATAATATCGTATTCAGTGATATCCATACGTAATGTGGAGTTCATGTATAGGTCCACGGCAAGAACTATCGTGATTCGCATTGAATGGCGCCTATATCATAAAAGATCGAGAAGCATTCAAATCTCCCATCGAACTTGATTTCGTATACATCAATAATTACATAAACACACATCGAGAAACCCCCAATAAAGCAGATATAATGTGTCTCGAAAAGACCAAGCATTGCCCAGTATGCTCTGTGACCGATACCATCGAGTGGGTGTACTGTGAGCCGTACAAGAAAGAGACCAACACTACAAGCAGAACGGGTAAAACTCCACCCTCTATTTATTTCAAACGGGAGTCTCACAATCCACCTATGAAACACGATATTACAAAGTACTACTCGCCATTCGACTGCCCTACAGTCGATTGTCCCAGCAAGATTAAAGATGAGGGCAAGTAGGGAACAGAAAGGGGGGATAACGGTAGATTTTGACGGGTGTTTGATAACTATGGAAGCCTAATAATCAATCATTCCCTTAGCTGGTTTCCAAAGCGATATGTATAAGTTGAAAGTCTCCCACGTCATGCCATTTGTAGTTTTCATATATTGACCCACGGGAAACTCAAAACGTTTATGTTGATTGGTAGGTCCCCCAACCTTTTATTAAATCTCTTCACTAATGATATGACTTTGGTGATTATCAAAGTAAATATGCCAATAGGATAAAGAGATGCAAACTTCAAGAGTTGACAACCAATAGCAGAGGCTCCTGGGTGCACAACTCTCCGAACAGGAATCTAGAGTTTTCGTCGTTCAACCAAATAAGTCTTTGAGTTACATTATACTGGCCTTGGCTACCTACAGTTCTTGCCGCAATACAGCGCCTGGTAGTTATCTCTTGAACATGACTATTTGGAAGAGATCCAAGAAGGAACGAGACATCTTCGTGATTTCTTGCCACATTCGATTCATGACGCAAACACGGCAAGTCTGGCTCACAAGTAAACTCTCAAAAGGCCTCAACCGTAGATCCCTGGTAGAGGGAAGCAGTTTCAAATGCAACCAGAAAGTCAAAACAGGGCCCCTCTGTAAACCTATCGTTACTGTACGTACAGTGTGCCCATGATCGCGTTCGACATTGAATACAAAGAGACATCCAAAGTTTGATGCGTCTTGAAACCTTACAGACAACACTTGAACTCAGATAAGGCTAGGCAAGACAAAAAGCTAGCCCATCCTCGAATAGATTTCGAGACAGGACCGTAAAAATTGACGTCTTATTTACTTCCTACTTGAGAGACCACCAAACATGGAACAAATAACGCCCACAGAAATTCCACAGGGCCCATCGCAACAGCCGCCGCCAGCGAATCAGGCTCTACCACCCTCTCTCTCAACGGCACAAGTACAGTGTCTGATCACGGCATGGTATTATTGTTCTGATCCAGTCCAGCGCGAGTACCTGAGCGAACTACTTGTCCAAACAATCCGCGACAAGCTAGACAGAATACAAGAGATACGAACCCAGCTGCATGCGATGCAACAAAAGTTATGGGAGAACGAACAAGAGTCTTCTAGAATGAGGGCATACTTTTCCCAGCTTGAGATAACGCGGCTACATCTGGTATCTCAACTTGAACAGATGTCTCCTCCCCCTGATACCTAACTATCTGTCTATGCGCTTGGGCGATAAGTCCCAATAGTTGTGCTGTAGGATGATTCAGAACAGACAAAACATCACCCAATCACGAATGTGCGTCAGACTTCAGCTGAGTATTGAAACACGCGCTGTTGATTAATCTTCAGACCTAACATCATTAGATATATATACGATTACCAAGAATTCGTTACACGCGAAATCGAGCATGGAGATCGAAACAATACCAAAAATGCCTGATGTTTGCAGCTCACGCGAGGCAAGAGATATTTTTTGTATCACAAGCTTGTCTAGAAACCCAGTTCCAGGAAGGAAGTTATTAGCCAATACGGCCTATACAAACTGGCGCACATACGTGCTAAAGAAAAGCGAAAAATGGTGTTGGGATGCCGGTAATTCTTTTAGTTAGCGATTAATGAATTCTTTAAGCAAAAAGCCAAAAGAATGGACGAGGAGGGAATTGAACCCTCGACCTTTCGCAATTACATGTTGCCTGATGATCAGAACAAAGATGCGAAGCGAACATCATACCCCTAGACCACACGCCCTAATTCTAACAGGCCAAAAATTATTACTCTCTATATCCTCAGCGTGGAGGGAAGTTCATATTGCCTCTAACCACACAGGTTTCATTTCAACGCCAGTAACAATCGAACAAGGATCGTTTTACGACAATTCATTAGCTTGAGACCCCATAATGACGAGTTCATGCTGTAATCTTCCCCGGATTATACGACCGCCAAGCTTTGTCCCCAGACTTGACCATTGACAGCTGTCATTCGCCTCCTTGATCCAATGTCCACTTACCCCAGATGCATCACACTCGGTAGAAGGACCCTTTGTTTTATACAATACACCAGCTGGCCATCATTTACTGGATCCGGTTCTTTCTAGGAGACCTGGGGTAATTCATAACCCCTTCTGTCCGATCAAAAGGACAATGAGCCAAGGAATGAAAATGGATGTTATAGTCATCATGAAAAGAAAGCAAGGATCTCAATTGGGAGAACACAAGTCGTAGGATTCATCCGGAAATGGTAGAATAGGTGAATAGTATACCCGTCTGACGGGCGTCCTAATGCTGCTTCATCCCACGTCCATTTAAAGCTTAGGAGGGTTGACAGTGAACCCTCCCAGGGTATTGACTGGGATGCCAAGGTAAACTACAGTTGTGTCTTTGTCCGGGTGTTTGTTTGGCTATTTAGCCTGAAGAGCGGGTAGACTATGCACCTAAGCTAAGAATACCAGGTGAACGGTTAACGAGCTGAAGACAGGGGAATTGGGGAATGATGCAACCTATTGATGCTTAAAGAAGAAATAAAAGCCCGACATTGGATGTGCCACGCCTTATGAGGATTCTTGGCTTCGAGAAATATGCAAGCATGCATCAATGGGTGAACAAGTGAAACGCTGACATAAAGACCTTATTCTAGTGGCTGGTTAAGTTGATTGCTGGGGTTCCAGCCGTATAATTGATAGAGTTTGGTAATGATTTGTCGATCCATGGATCATCCAGGCTTTATATCCTTGTCGTGTTTATTATGCTGGGCACAGTTGGATGGAGAAATTAGGTATACGACGAGTAATGCACCTGAGGAGTAGGAGCCGGACCAAAACCTTCCTTTGTTCCTGCCATGCCCGTCTTGGCTTCCAGTCGCGCCTGCCCGACCAAACTAACCCCGCAATTTCGGTAGAGTCAGGTGCTAGTTTTAGATCTGGCATATCCTCAACTTGAACCACACCAAAGACGGGATGATCAGCGGTTTTAAGCATAAGCTAAATCCAATCAAACCCCCAACTCTCCACAACACTCCATCAGCCGGTCCGTTTAACCGCTACTGAGTTTGCCTGACTCTCATCACTTTCGGCGCGAGAATCCGTTTTCGGGTGAGTGTCAACCGACCGGGGATGTTACCCGAACGAATCGCCTGGTCTGATTCGCGCCTGTCGCTGACTGAGACTCGTCAAATGTCACATCGCGATGCAACATAGACATACGGTCAAACCAAGTTTTGGGTGCGGAGACTCCATGTTTCTTCCCCAGACGACTGCTGAGTGCGGAGAAATCGGAAATCCTACCGTTAGAGCAGCAGTAGTTTGTAGCTTGTAGCTACAGCTCCATCTTATCTAACCGGGGACAACCCCAGCATCAGGTATATAATATGATCTGCAGTGTCCCCATCGAAATGTTTTGTGTCTTTCTTCTCTAGCACTGACTGCCTGATTGCTACTGTTACCAGTAGAACGGACCACGCCCTTTGCATTGCATTGCACTCAACAAGAGTCAAACCGCCACCATGGTCAACGTTGGTTCCGCCGCCGATCCTATCGTCACTCGCCTAGTCGAAGAGGACAAGACACCATGGTACAAGAAGCCCAATCTTCGTATCATGTACGTCTGGCTGTTCTTCTGCTGTATGGGTGTCGAGATGACTTCTGGTTTCGATTCTCAGCTTATCAACACTTTGCAATACTCGCAAACCTTTCACAAGTGTATGATCATCTACAACAAAATGTTCTCCATGATGGACTAACAAATTTCTAGATCTTGGTGAGGGACGAATGGACGCCGACGGAGAGAAATATGCTATCGAACCTGGTCTGCTCGGCTTTGTCAACTCTTGTTATCAGCTCGGCTCCATTTTTGCTGTCCCCGTTGCACCCTGGTTTGCTCAGAAATATGGTCGAAGATGGTCCATCATGTTGGGTTCTCTCATCATGGTTGTCGGCGCCATCATCCAAGGTTTCGCTCAGCATGGTAAGAACACATGCCTGAAATAATTACAGTATACTGACATAACCAGTCGGCATGTATATCGTCGCTCGTATCATTCTCGGAGCTGGAATCCTTTTTTGCATCATCTCTGGTGCTGCTCTAATCGGAGAGCTGGGATACCCCAAGGAGCGAGCTACCTTGACCTCACTTTTCAACTCTTCGTACTTTATCGGTCAAATCACTGCTTCTGCTGTCGCTCTGGCCACCACTTCCATCAAGACAAACTGGGCCTGGCGAATCCCTTCTCTTTTGCAAATCTGCCCCTCTCTGATCCAGATTGCCACTGTTTTGTAAGCAAAATGTTCTTTCACCACTTTCAAAACTGACAATGCCAGCCTCCTCCCCGAGTCCCCCCGTTTCCTCATCTCCAAGGACCGAACCGAAGAGGCCGCCGCTATCCTCGTCAAATATCACGCCGAAGGCGATGTCAACTCTCCCCTCGTCCAAGCCGAAATTGTTCAAATCCGAGAGACCATCAAAGCCGAGATGGAGGCTTCTAAGCAGTCCTGGCTCTCAGTCATCCGTACCGCCGGTATGCGTCGTCGATTCCTCGTCACCATCTTCATCGGTCTCTTCACCCAACTTTCTGGCAACACACTTATGAGTTACTATTCTGGTAAACTATTCGAGCTTATGGGATACACAAGCGACTACACAAAGACTCGCATCAACCTTGCCTTCGCCTGCTGGAGTTTGATGAACGCCACAGCTCTTGCTCTCATCGTTCCTCGCTTCAAGCGTAGACACATGTACATGCTTTCCGCCACTCTGATGCTTCTCGTCTTTATCGCCATCACTGTCTCCCTCCAGCAGATCCAGGCGACTCCCGTAGGCCAAAAGAACAACGCCGCTGGTATTGCTGCGCTGTTTTTCTATTTTGCATACTCGCCAACATACAACATCGGAAACAACGCTCTCACATACAGTAAGTCACCTAAACTACAAATATTGCAACCGCTAACATTGCCCAGCCTACCTTGTCGAACTTTGGCCCTATGCTATGCGATCTCGTGGTATTGGTGTTCAGCAAATCTTTGGAAAGCTCGCCGGGTTCTTCTCCACCAACGTCAACTCCATTGCTCTCGATGCGATCAAGTGGAAGTACTTGGCTATCTACTGTGGTTGGATCGTCTTCGAGTTTCTCATCATCTACTTGCTCTACCCCGAGACCAGCGGCCGCACCCTCGAGGAACTTGCTTTCCGTATGTATTTCAATTCTTCGATTCGTTCAATAGCTAACAGATCCAGTCTTCGAGGACGACGAGCTCAAGGAAAAGGCAACCGCTGCTGTCGAGAAGCAAATCCATTTCGGAGACGCCAAGGAGGAGGAGCAAAAGACTCAAGTACAGACCCGGGAGGTTGCTTAGACAGTTACCGTGTTGGATGGAATAAATGTCTGTAACTGGATGGGAGATTGAATTAGTACAGCACTTCTGAGTTAAATACTACACGTCTGATCACGTCTACTTTACTGTCCCCTTGAAACTTTATGGTCTAAATAATAAGTCCTTATAAAATTTATGTTGCACATGAGCTAAATCCCTAATGATCGAAAGAATTGTCCCTCGCCGGTCTTTACGATAGAAGAGAATATTGCTTAAAATTACAAAGTCTTTTATTCAGAGAGTGAAATACATGTATGTATAGGTGTATAGAATTGAAAATTGTGCGAATTTAGTAATCTGATTTAAATGCCAAACCTAACCACTGTTGTTACAGTTCGTGCAGTAGTCCATAACGACACTGCATGAGTTGGATAGACGAATATGTCCACACATCCAGATACCGTCATTCTTCTTGGCATTTTCACGAGCGGCAATAATATCACTGCCCTTCATACCAATACCGTAATCGTCACACTCAAACTTGGCAATGCAAGCAGCCTGACCGAACGAAGCAGCCATGAGGATACCCTTGTTGGATCGACTGTATCGCGTTGCGTAACCCTTGTACACAGTATCGGCATCGAACTCGTTAATGGCCCTATCACAGGCCTCACCTAAGCCCTTCTTGGATAAGCCGTCGGATGTTCCACACTGGCCACCGCCATCGTTATCAACAGCGGTTTGAGAAGGCAAAGGCGTAGAAACAGTTGATGGTACACCGTAACCACGTGTTGCTGTAAAATGGAGAGTATAAGCCATGTAGTAGCTCAGAGTGTAAGCTGAGTAGACCAAAACGGTGCCATCGTTGGTCTCAGTGAAGGGAGTCGGCACTGGGGCTTGGGTAACTGGAGCGTCGGTAACGGGAATAACGGGGGAAGGGTAGGAGGTATAGGCCTCGCAGCTGTTGTCGATCAGAGAAGCCGAAGTGACATATTGCTTGCCGGAGACTGTGGTGCTGCATTGACAGTATGGGTTCGCGACGCGTGGTCCGCCAAAGATATTGCAAGGGTAGTAGGTACGGACTTCCTCGCTAGTGGTCGCTGGATCGGTTGTCATAATGGATGTGACGACGTTGGACGAAGCCCTGGTGGTGGTAATGAGAGTGCTTGGTGTGGTGGTTTGCAAGACAGTATTAGGTTGTGTGGTAGTAGCCTCGGTGGTCTTGTCTTCAGAAGAAGTTGTTCCAGTAGACTCTAAAGTCTTTTCGTCTGTTGTAGAGCCTGCAGAAGTCTCAACAGCGGAAGTAGCATCGGAAGTAGCATCGGAAGTGGCATCGGCCGTAGTGGCAGCCTCGTGTGTAGAAGAGGGGCCAGCTGAAGTAGTACCAGTGAAGCCACCTCGAATCAAACACTTGTTGGCAGCTTCATCTTCAGCACGCTTCTGAACG